CTTCCGACAAGCGCAGTCTGCTCTGATTGGCCAGCTGACCCAGTGCATTGTGATTGGCCGAACACCGCAAGCACTCGTCGGAAATGTAACGCCCCTTACCATAATCGCGAGCTTCATCTTTCAAAACAAATGTAAAGACAGTAAATAAATTTATATTTTATTTGTAGTAAAACCATGGTTAAAGGGATAGATGTGTTTTACTGCTTGGAGTAAAATTTCAACATTAAGTTCTGCTGTTTTAATCTCTTTGCGAGGACCCTATTGGAATTGCTCAGTTTCTTCACATTTGAATCACATTTTGAGGGCCTAAACATGCTTGAAAACTCATGAAACTTTGCACACGCGCCAGAAGGGGCGAAAATTTACATCTGATATGGGTTTCAGGAGTGAGTGTGGCAAAATGGCTCAATATAGCGCCACCTATAAAATTTCTATGAAGTGCCCCTCGAGCTATGTTTCACATACATGTACGAAATTCGGTAGACACATGTAACACACCAATACCTACAAAAAAAGTATCTCGGCACGAAGTTTGAAACCCAACAGGAAGTCTTATTTTGAATTTTCTCTGCAAGTTTTGTGCCATTTTTGCCATTTTCAGGCATTGTACTTAAACAAATTCCTCCAAGAGATTTATTCAGATCAACACCAAATTTGGTAAGTGTAATCTAAAGCCCTTTGTGACGTTAAATTGCAAAGATTTCGAGTTTTCATTAAAGGGCGTGTCCGTGGCGGCCTGACAAACTTTGATGTTTCGCCATGAAATAGGATGATGTTATAATTCAGGCATACAATGTCCGATCTGCCCCAAACTTCACATGTTTGATAAGAGTCCTGTCTTGAACACATGCCCATGCCCATATTCAGTTATAGTCATAGCGCCACCTGCTGGCAACAGGAAGTGGCATATTTTATGCTCTAACAAACTCCTCCTAGAAATTTAATGACATCAACATTATATTTGGTCAGTCTATTCTAAAGACCTTTGCGATGTTAAATTGCGAAGATCTTGAGTTTTCGTTAAAGGGTGTGTCCTTGGTGGTCTGACAAAGTTCGACGTTTCGCCATGGCAAAGGAAGTTGTTGTAACTCAGCCATACAATGTCCGATCTGCCCCAAACTTCACGTTTGGTAAGAGTCCTGGCCTGAACACATCTAAAGGCCAATATTCACTTATAGTCATAGCGCCACCAGCTGGCAGTAGGAAGTTTGGCACATATAAATGACTTTGACATATTTCTCCTATATTTACCACTTTAAATGCATATTGCTCACCGTTCGCTGTTTTCCTAAAGTCACGGGTGGTGGTAAGCCTGGGTACGAGGGCCCTTTCGACACTGCTTTCAGCTTTAATGATGTTTGTAATTCAAAATCGAATCATTTTTCCAATCTGGTGTGAACTGTTTGGGAGTTTTGACAGGTTTCAAGTTCCTAAACCTGCATTTAATTTATTCCATGATTATCTTACTCTGTACAAGATTATGGAACAGGGGTTTTACTCACAAACTTTTTTTTATTTTTTTTTTAATATAATTTACAAAATTACATAGTTAAATGTTTACGTCCATTAGACTGCTTTCCAAGTCCAGGTGCGTCACCGACCACTTCTGAAGCAAGACATTGCTAAACATTTTCCCTCAGAAATCGATCGCAGTCACGCTCAGGTTACGAAAGGAAACAGCTTCCGGTTCGAGACAATATTAGTATTATGGGTGTAGAAGTTGTGTTAGGTGGGGCTGAAGTGCAGAGGTAGAATTTAAGGGTGCTTTGGAAGACCTGCGGAAAGCTCCTCTGTAAACCGCCACCATGTGTTTGTCCTCTTCCCTCTAAATACCCCCTTTACTCTGCAACCGGCATTTATCCCCTCAGCCAGGGCCTTACAAAAGCCATTCCTGGATCTGTCTCACGCTGGGACATACTCGCTCCCTCTCTCATTCGCCTCGTCTTCCCACACCAAAGGCATTTAAAAACTCATCTAGCTCCTGCTGTGCAAATTCACCATCGAAATTGCTTCTTTTTGTAAACATTCTGTTTGTGTACATGCTGTAAATGTGTTTGGGTAAATGTATAGATATCCGCTCTGGAAAGTGAGCAGTGTTCAGAGCGGGTCTGTGTGTGTAAGCCGCAAACCTGCAGGGCAAATATAACATTTGTACAAACAACCGACTGATTTATGCCCTGTTAAGCATTTTTTTAAAATCACGGGATACAATTTGAGAAAACCCTGAGATTTGCCCAGTTCAGATGACCACAAGAGGGCGCTTAATAATGTGTACATGTTAAGCAGTTAAAGCTTGATATGGAGCATGTTAGCCTCTGCTGGTAGATTCTGTATCTACAACCTCCAGCCAAAAAACATATGGATGGACGTTCAAAAGTAGCCATGTAATAAATAAGATTTCTCAATTTTCTCCAGTTTTTTTTATCTCTTTGTCTAAAATCAGCTGTGATGTCTAAAAAAAAAAATCAGAAATGAAACATCATTCAACAACCAAACATTTGTATTCATGACAATAGAATTATAACCAATTTGGCACACAAATAAAATGACATTTCAATAAACAATGTGCGTACAACAAATTGTCTCCTATTTTCTCAAAGTATATCATGCAAAATATAAACAGTATTTTTTTATATAACTAAAGCATGTAACTATGATACTAAAAACTATTAGAGGAATATTAACAAGCAAGACACTTCAAATAAAATATCACTCCTAAAAACATAACAGCGTTTACCATTCACTTTTTTGTGGTTACAAATCAGAACACTAACCTATTACCTATTACACGGACAGCATAAAAGTTACAGTGAATTCTATGAAATATTATGACTAAAATATGACAATTGGTGGCAGTGACAAATTAAACATTAAAACAAACATCTGATTTGCTGATTTTTCACATTTCTGGCTATGTTCAGAATAGAATACTTCATTTATTAATTATATGTAAGAGAACACATAATGCATCTAATTTTACATAGTGGGATACACTGTTGACATGACTTCATGAAGCATGTTTTATTCAGCATGGCGTCCAGTTAATATTTTGAAAATAAAATATGGTTATTTTGCAAAAATCAGTTAAAAAGTGAAAATAATGGGGGAAAAGGATATGTTTAATGTGGATGATTATTTTCAGATTCATCTGGAAATGGATGGTAAAGGTAAGTAAATTGCATTGTGAGATAGGCTACAGCACTTAGTACAGTGTGCTCTATTATTTATTGAACATTTCAGCAAATTGTGTTGGCTTTCTGGACATTAGACCTTATGCACAGTTTGCACAGCGGTTTAAAAGTTTGGGGTCAGTAAAAAGTGTTCAAATGAAATTCATAGTTTTATTTAACAAGGATGCATTCAATTGGGATTGACAGTTCAATTGGTGACAGTTAAGACATTTACAGAATAATATTACAAACATTTCTATTTCAAATAAATGCTGTTATTTTGAAAAAAAGTGTCATGTTTCCACAAGCAGCACAACTGTTTTTAACATTAATAATTTATCATTTCTTGAGCAAATCAGCATATTAGAATGATTTCTGAATGATCATGTGACACTGAAGAAGACTGGAGTAATGATGCTAAAAATTCAGCTTTGCATCACAGGAATACATTACATTTTCAATACATTACAATAGAAAAGTTATTCTGAATTGTTTTTACGGTATTTTTGATCAAATGAATGCAGCCTTGGACATAAAAAAAAACCCATTAAAAAGTCACCCCAAACTTTTGACAAAAGTACATACTGCAGAAATTGTACTATGCTATTCTGAACAAAACCACTTTATGTTTGTCCGGGAGGCATGAACTGTTTTTGTACAATGCACAAACCATTTTAATTTAAACTATATTTGCACACATATTTGTGATGGTCTGCATCAGTCATGTGTGGCATCTTCAAACTGTGATGCTGAAAGCCCTTTGGTCAGATGTTTATTTGTCAGGTTTGAGGTGGAGGTGTTGGAGGGTGCGATGGAGGTTGTAGTTCACTAGTGATCTCCCTCTGCAGTCCCACAGGATATGAGTGGGGAATCTGTCTCGTCATGCTCCTCCTCTTGGCTTTGCGTTGGCGGTTCTGTCCAGCAGGTTTGACCCGATCACTAAGAGCGTCTGAGGACTCGTCAATGTACGCTAGGTTCTCACCAAAGAAGTCCAGAAGGGAGGGATGAAGTGGACTGCAGCTGTCAACCACGACGACAGGAACATCCTTCCGACTTTCCAGTGATCTAAGAGTCCCTTCAGCTCCAGACTCCAGGTCCTCTGAGTTACGGGAATTTGACTCATATTCATATTCCGACCAGGATTCCGAAGGTGTCTCGGATCCCGTTCCAGATTCTGAAGGGGACCTGGAAATGGCTCTGGATCCGGGTCTTGATGGTGGTTTCAGCTCTAACCTTGAGACGGATCTTGACGCTGGTCCTACCGTCAGCCTCGATCCTGGTCTCACCTCGCACGCCCCATCTAACCTACACCACGACCTGGATCGGGACAGCGCTTCAGACCTGATATCAGACCCTGGGGTGTACTTGCACGCAGGCCATCCGAGAATCAGGTGTCCGTTCTCTCGGATAACATCGGCATCGAGGGAGATCCCATGAGCCAATCCCGCTGCGCTCAGTCTTGGGTGGCGATGATGGCGGTGACGCTTCCGTCTACGTCGCCGTTGGAGCTGAAAGGGGTCGTTGAGATCCAGTGGCACGGGAATACGGAAGTCCATGGACATGTTCTGGATGTTCTGAGTCCAGTCTGTTGCATGGGCTCTCAGCTCCTCCATCTAAAAGAAAAACACAGTACCATTAAAAAAAAGAAAAAGAAAAACTTATGGGGAGAACTTATGAGAATTAACTTATGAGAAAGTGATTTTTTTGCAATACAAGCAGTAAAAAGGTGGTTAATAAGAGCCTAAAAACATGCAAAAAAATGTTTACTAATACTATACACTGACATTAAAAAGTTTGGGGTTGGTAAGATTTTTCAAATATTTTTAAAAGAAGTTTCTTGTTCACTGCAATTATTTTATCAAAAATACAGTAAAACAGTAATATTGTTAAATATTTTCTACAATTTAAAATAACTGTTTTCTATTTTAATATAATTTAAAATGTAATTTATTCCTTTGATGCAAAGCTGAATTTTTAGCATCATTACACCAGTTTTCAGTGTCAAATGATCCTTCATGAATCATTCTAATATGATTTATTAATATATTAATAAATATCTTATTAATATGTTGAAAACCTTTGCTGCTTTTTTTTTTTTTTTTTGAAACCGTTATACTTTTTCCCCCATGATTCTTTGAAATAGAATTCTTTTGTAGTACTATTAATGTCTTTGCTGTCACTTTTGGTCAATTTAATGGATCCTTGCTGAATAAAAAAACAACAACTTTTGAACAGTATCTCACATACAAATTTGGTCCACTTTGCAGATTTATTTTAAATAGTCCATACCACAATAGTAGTCCACTGTGGAAAAACTGAAATGAATAAATCCATTGTTCATTCTGTCTGTCTCACCTCTGCACGTGTTTTCTTTGACAGCACTCTAAGCCAGTTCCCAATCATAGTGAGGATAGATGCAAAATACGCCAGACCAAACACTATCCACAACCACACCAACGGCTTGTACAGGGGCGTTCCATCTCTCCTATTCTCTGGAATAGAGGAAAGAGAAAGATAATGACACAGGGGTGGTGTGGCCTGGTGGTTGAAAGCTCTGGGCTGGTATAATGGGAAGATTGCTGGTTTGAAGATTGAGCCATGGGCAAGCACCATTGTTCAAATGAGCAAAGCACTTAAAGAAATATTCCGAGTTAAATACAAGTTAAGCTCTACCAAAAATATACACCACCACTCAAATGTTTTGGGTCGGTTTTTGGTGTTTTTGAAGTGTCTTATGCTTAACTAGGCTGCATTTTTTTTTTAATTACAATAAATACAGTAACATTGTGAAATAATTTTACACATTTAAAATGATTGTGTTCTATAATATATTAAAAGTAGTTTATTCCTACATTTTCAGCAGCCATAACATGATCCTTCAGAAATCATTCTAATATGCTGATTTGATTATTATTTTAACAGTTGTGCTGAAATATTTATGGAAATTGTGATACACTTTTTTAGGATTTTTTGATGAACAGAAAGTTCAAAAGAACAGCATTTACTTGAAATAGAATATCTTCTGTATCTCTGTGACAATAAAAATGTCTTGACTGTAACATTTGATTTAATGCATCCTCACTTAAAAGTAGTAGTCATTTATTAAAAGATATATATATATATATACAATTTTAATAAATATAAAATATAAATATCTAAATTAATACAAGCAAAACATTACAGATACAAATATTTTAAAAAGTGATTAAATTTGGTCTGTTACATTTCAATACCTTATCATTGACTAAAATAACAGAAAATGTAGTCAGTAAAACGGGAAATGGATTTAATGAATATGGCATAATAAAATATATTATATAAATTTAAAGCTAATTTTTTGGCAAAAGACAACAAGTATGATTAAAGCAGAACAAAAAAGTATAGAAAAAAAAACACTAGACTGAGTTTGGAGTTTGATTTTTGATTAAATGACATGAAAACACTGAGAAGACTCAATTTAAATTGAGTCGATAAAACTGTTCCTTTATTAGGTCTACTGTAAGTCACTTTTAGTCATGACTAGATAGATTAGAGATGAGTGCCTGCTCTGGTCTAAAATTACAGCTATTATAATTAATTCTATTACAATTAGTGTCTATGGCTTAAAAACAGATAATTAGATGATGTAAATGACTGCAACGTCATGGCTGTCTGGATCCAATGACCACAAAACATCCTGCAATTCCAGGCGTAATACAATATTGAGTTCCTTAACAGAATTATCATACGGTCACATGACACAGTAAACTAAATCATATGTAATGATTATTGCATGTAGACATCATATATCTGTGCACCTGCCACATAGTCCCCAAAGCCCACCGTGGTCAGGGTGATCACGACAAAGTACACCGCTTCCAACAGGCTCCAGCTCTCCACTTCCTGAAACACCATGGTCGGCACGGCGATGAAGACTAAGCAGCCAATCAGGATGGAGAAGACAGCGGAGATGACACGGACACTGGTGGGCTTCACACCCTTACGCTGTTCAGCAGGGAATAAATCAAAAGACAATTTTCAACATACCCTGACAACACAATACAGCTATCTTTGTTATTTTGGAAATGATTTGATGCGTATTAGTACTTGGGAATCAGGGGTTGGATTCACATAAATCTTTATAAGCAAAAATGTTAAAACAATTTAAGATACATTCTAAGACATTCATAAGAAAGTGTAATTCTTAAGAGGTTCTCAGGTAATTTCTTAAGAATGTCTTTAGTCTTTAGTGTGTTCTGATTGTAGATTGTGTCTGAGACTTGTTGAAAAGACTTGGCCGTCTTTTTGCGCTGCATGCAGTTTACAGTAATAACCAGAATGAGGCAAACACTACAGGCAAAAGCATTGCTTTTTCATGCACTGGTCAGTTTTAAGATTTTGGGTTATTTGGCTTCTCGTGTTGTTTCAGACTAGTAGAAAGAAAACATTCAAAATACATATTTAAGTGTTTATTTTATTGCACTTTATCTATTTGCGTCTGTATATTTCTTTTACAATGCATATCTCTGAAGAAATCTCCACTTCAGCAGCACTCACATACACCAGATTTTACTTTTTACTCCTATCTATATTGTTTTTATAGAGGGGTTTTTTCATAGGTAATTTGCCTGATGTTGTACTTTCCTAAAACACTGTGATTTTTTTCTTCTTCTGGGAATTGACATTATTTTCTATAGAAGTTTATTTCCTCCATGGAAAAAACACAATGCAATTGTGACTTTTTATATTACAATTCAGATTTTGCGATATTTTTGAAGATTATTGTGAGATATAATCAAACAAACAAACAAAAAACCCTCTTTTTTCCTGCGATTCAGAACTTACATCTTGCAATTTTGTCTTTTTTCTCTGAATTCGCAATTCGGCCTTTTCTTCTCTTAATTGCAAGTTTATATATCACAATTCTGATATTTTTTCTCAGACTTGCAAGTTCATATTTCAGGCTTGAAAAAATAAATCTTATCTAAAATCTAGAAACCTTTGACTTTATGTCACCAAAATGAAACAAGAATTTTCAAGAAATTGCAGTAAAAATATTTGCAATTTCTAATATGTGACCTTCGACCACAAAACCAGTCTTAAGTGTCAATTTTTCAAAATTGAGATTTATACATCATACATACATACAGCTGAATACATAAGCTTTCCATTGATGTATGGTTTGTTAGGATCGGACAATATTTGGCTAAGATACAACTATTTGGAAATCTGGAATCTGAGGGTGCAAAAAAATCTAAATACTGAGAAAATCGTCTTTAAAGTTGTCCAAATGAAGTTCTTAGCAATGCATATTACTAATCAAAAATTAAGTTTTTATATATTTAAGGTAGGAAATTTACAAAATATCTTCATGGAACATGATCTTTACTTAATATCCTAATGATTTTTGGCATAAAAGAAAAATAGATAATTTTGGCTCATACATGTGACCCATGTTTTTTGGCTATTGCTACAAATATACCCTAGCGACTTAAGACTGGTTTTGTGGTCCAGGGTCACATATAATCAGTCAACTGCAGAAGTATGGTGATATCTATTAGTTTGTTTGTTTTTTGTAGTAACTGTCTAGAAGTTCAGCACTCGCCATGTACTTTAAACAGTTGTTTTTAAAGAGCCTGTTTCAAGATGGCGCTCATGTTAAAGGTTATTCTTCGTTACTGTCTTTAGAACAATTTTCAGAAAAATATTTATCTTTTTTATTACATTACTATGAAATGTTTCATAATATAATATGATTTCTGTATCAAAAGTTCATGTTGCAAATGCTCTTTACAATGAGTTGTTAATACAATATGTCATCACTTACTGTTTTATCTGTTCATCCACATTATTAATCTAATTTTCTAATGGTCTGAATTTTAATGAGTCACCTACCAAGAACAGAGTCTCTATCTTTGCCACCGCTCTCCTCAGCAGGGTGCCCAGGTGGTCTCCAACCCCTGCTAACAGTATCCCAAACATGGGGATCCCCACCAGAGCATAAAATATACAGAACAACTGACCGCCTTTTGTCTTGGGCGAAATGTTTCCAAAGCCTAGAGAAGAGGAGAACATGTGAAATCAAGCTCTTAAGATGAAAATAAAAACTATAAAGTAAAAAATCTCACCGATAGTGGTTATGATGGTACCACAGAAGAAGAAAGCATTGGATGGATCCCATCTGCTGGTATAATTTGATGTGCTTCTGGCATCCACACCTGCTTCAATGGCATCAACCACTTTCTAGAGTGAAAAGATGATAGATTTATCAATGATGCCCCAGTGTACATATATCTACACAGACATCTACACACACACACACAGAATATTTATAAAAATACCTGTTGTTATTTTTAAAAATTTAAATGTTAATTAAAATAAAGCTAAAATAAAATCAAATATTAAAAATAAAAACTTAAACTTGATTAAAATATAAAAATGAAATTTAGAAGTGTTGTCTTGGCAAGTAATTGAAATAAAGTAAGTACTAACTAAAATTGAATATAAATATTATATAAAACAACACCACAACAAAATTAAAAAAATTACAAAATTAGTAAAACTAAAATTTGCTATGGTATTTGAATACCATTGTAGTATTTATTAATATTTTCACTTGCCTTTTATTTTATATTTTGTTTTCAGTTTTATAATTTTAGTTCAAATTATTGTGTTATGTTTTTGTCCTTTTATTAATTTTTATTGCTTTTTTATATTTCTACTTAAGTTTTTCATCTAATATTTTATTTTAGCTTTATTTTAATAAACATTTCAATTTTTAATAGCTTTACCTAGACAATTACTGGTTATATACACTATAAATAATTATTTTTCTTAGTAGTAAATAAATAAAGATTATTGGAAGATGTTATACATAAAATACTATTATAATTCCATGTTTAATTCGCTGTGTTGTTTGTCATTTCTTTGTAATTAATTGTGAAACTTACTAGCAATTTCAGAATGTCAATTATTTCTACACCAACTCCCCAAGTTATAGATTGTAATTCCACGTAATTTTTTTACATTTACGTTTTCAAACAGACCTCTGTGAACTTTCTCAGACTGTGAGGGGTGACGCAGCTGTGGTTCTGTAGGAAAGCCATTCGAGACGTCAGCAGCTCGTGGTGAGCCCATTCCTCCCTGGAGGACTCCAGCCAGCCGAACACCAGAGCCCCTAACACCAAATACAGCAGCACGGCTGCCAGGATGGTCAACAGTGTTGTGCACCGCATGGCTACGAGGCGCTGATGACGTCAAACAAGATGCCACATACTGTGGATGAATGTTTTGGAAACATTGATAATCATGTGACCATCAGGTTAGGTGGAGCGAAGAGAAGAACGTCAAGGGAAACGAACACAATAATTAAATTATCTCTGCTTATCACGACAAATGAAGAAATGTTAGTGTGTTTTGACTATTTGGCAAAGTACAGTGGCCCCAAAAAGTATTTAGGATCACTTCAAAGTATGTAAAAATTACACAGATTTACACAGAATATCATTGCAAAACAAATTATTGCAAATTAAATCGCATTTTGAACAGTATCACTTCTTTTTGTGAAATGTTCTGCTTGAAAGTGTTTGTGCTCCCTCTATTTAAAATAAATGGCAGCTTATTTGATATTTTGTTATCTATTGCAATAGCATTTATTTATTATTATGAGCGCCTAATAACAGAATATTTCATACAGGTTCACTGTATATGTAATAGAAAACAGAGATCAATTATTTACCTTATCAAAGTTGTTTTTCTAAATTAAATCTCTTCTCCATTTCCTCCATATCAGATGTTTGCTGTAGTCGTTTATACACTCTTCTTGTCTCTGCACGGCCTCTTCCACTGGCGCACACAAAAACCTGTGAGACATAATTGTCAAAAAATGCTCTGAACACCCTGAAACTGACACCAGATCAGCTTTGAGCTTCAGGAGCTTTGACCCAGTCCAGACACATAACAGGAAAGGGGTAAAGGCACAGAGGTAAGAAGACAACACATGACGGCATTGAAACAGAACTTCTGGCAAAGGTCTATGTAAACAAATTGTTCTACTGACAGAACCTTGATGCTCACCAGGGCTCTCTAGGACTCACTTTATAGACGCATGGTTACCGTATATTATGGTATACATTATGTTGTCACTTTAAGTATTTGCAATCATTTGTTTTACTTTACTGTGTTATGTTTTACATTGCATTTATTATGATCATAAATATGCACAACTTGCGTGTGTGAAATTATTAAGAATTACGTTTTTTTTTTTTTTTTCTCAAAGAACATTAAATGGTTACAGATCTTACAAAATAGACAATTACAGATGGGTAAAGCACAAATTAAAAAAAGACAAATATTTTGGAATAAAAAATTGTGTTGCTCCCAAGATCATAGAGAAGAATGATCTTGAATAAAGCCTTACATTTATTAAATTAAAATGACTTTGATATTACACTGAAAAAAATTATACTAAATTTTTTAAGGTAGTCTAAGTGGTTGCAAACAATTTATTTTAGCTACATTAATAAAAAAACATGCTGAAAGTTAGTCAATTAAATTTGTTTATTTAAATGTAGCTAAAATAAATTGATTGCAACCACTTACCTTAAAAAATTTAGTAAATTCAATTAATCATTTTTTTAGTGTACGTTTCTTAGACCTTACTTTATTAACCAAGTAATATATATTGATACATCCTATAATAAATAGACTTTCGTACTAGTATACAATATCTCTATATGCTTAAGATTTACATTCAAACAAAGCAAATTCATAATCATTCATAATTCATCTTCACTCTCAAAAAAAAAAGTACAAAAGCTGTCATTGGGGTGGTACCTTTTCAAAAAGGTACACCTCTGTACCTTGTTTACCCCTAAGAAGTGCAGTTGTCCCTCAAAGGTACTAGGGCTGTCAAAATGACTGAAAAACTAAATTCGAATTTTCTACTTAAATATTATCAAAATTTTAATTATATTCGAATTTAAAGGCATAATTTCAGTTAGGGGGAAAAAAGCTTTTGGCTTCTCTCCTGAGGCCACAAGAGGGCGCATCGAGCAAAATATTCGTCTTTAGATATGTTTTTTGTTGAACTTGCATTAATTTTACATGGCTTTCTAAACATACCGCTCTCTGCGAGACGCGAGTGCAACACTGATAGATGTCCCTCTAGAAAATGTGATAAATATGTGTTCTGTGTGAACGGCTTGGTTTCGGTTCTGACGTAAACAACATCTTCTTCACACTGATGCTCTTGTTTTCCGCAATATATGAATGAACAATGTAGCAGCACCGCAACTAGTGGGTTCAACTGGATAGGCTAACAAAAGCGTTCAAATGCAATCAATGACACATACATCGTCATCGCATCTCGTGCGCCACTGATAAGGCTGCCTGACGGCTGACGCAGACCTTAAAGGGGTCCGTGTGACGGAAATGTTACGCCCCTTACTTATACTGTCTTTTTACACGTTGCGTTGCATCGCGCCGCCGCCGCGTAAACATAAAACCATGTCTGCATTTGTGATCAGAGAACTGACAAACAAGCGCTACTCTACACTGCTCAAAACTCGCGTTTGAATCATCAGGAAACACACGGCGGGCTAGAGTGAGCGGTGGCGGGCGGCCTAGAGTGAGCGGAGGCCGGTGGGCTTTAGAACGGTGCGGCCGGCGGGCTTGCGGCAACCACATGTGATGACCCCGGGCTGGACTCCGCTTCGTCCACGGTGATTGTGTGAACATTTGGGCGGTGTTATGCAAATCTTCGCACATCGTGACGTAGACATGTGGGGGCGTGTTAGAGCAAGTGGTTTTAGGTAGGCATGGTTGACTCTTAACTTTTATAAAGAATATCTCTTTGGATTTGAGACTTTAGTCTTTGCAACTTTACAGATCTTCTTTATGCACCAAGAGCTTGTAACACTTCAAAGAGAAAGTAAAAATAAAAATCGCATCATATGATTTTAAATTCGAATGCAAAGTTTTTGCATTTGAATGTGGATTTTTTTTATTTTATTCGACGAATATTCGAAATTCGATTTTTTTTGACAGCCCTAAAAGGTACATGTTAGTACCCAAAGGATACATATTTTGAAAAGGTACTGCCTCAGAGACAGCTTTTGTACCTTCATTTATGAGAGTATTCCACATGCCAAAGAAATTACTGATATTGTTTCATTTTTGATTATTTGCAATGCAACAGGCAATAAAAAGTAACTGTTCACCTTAATAGCTACTTTAAAATGTTAACTATTCGTTTAATCAGTGTAATGTTTCACAAAACAGCATAAAAACACGTGTAAAGTTTGTGAGGGAGTGTTATCTTACCTCAGCGCGCGGTTCCGTCGGGAGTGGATGTCGTGAGGAGTTCCCTCTCTCCTGCAGACCACTGTGAGGATACATGCACTCTTCAGGACTTTCCCCATTCCCAAGTCTTACGTGAACCTGCCAACATGAGAGAAGAAAAAGAGCAGAGAAGAGACGGAGAGAGGAGGGGAGGAGAGAGGATTGTTTGGCCAGAGACACCAATGAAAGCTGACAGTTTATCTGTTTCAGGTGTTTAAAACATTTTTGTTGAGAGCAGCTTCTCTCATCTTTCATCTCATTTTTTAATGTAAAGCACTGGGGTTATGTCATGAAATCCCAGCAAACACTCCGCTAGGTTATTTTCTGAGAACCAATTATTAACGTTCTAAGAACGTCTTTTGGGAATCAAAAATCTGTGATAGACAGGATCGTTTGTCCATGTGCCCAACGCTCAATCCAATCATACAATCCAACGCTCTCCATTGACTTTCTATTGCGGGAAGCTACCTCCTCGTCATTTCTTATAACAAAAAAACAGAGCAATGCCTAAAAGCTGCTATGTGACAAGGTGTACAGTAAACAAGCTAAAAAAAAACAGAATTACGTTTTATAAGCTGTCGACCCCCCCAAAAAACGAGAGTTTAAAGCCCTTAAAGGGTTAGTTCACCCAAAAATTAAAATTAGCCCATGAATTACTCACCTTCAAGGCATCCTAGGTGTATATGACTTTCTTCTTTCAGACGAATCCAGTCAGAGTTATATTAAAAACTGTCTTTGATCTTCCAAGCTGTTTAATGGCTTTGTTCACCCCCCGCAGCCGTGTGAGACACTTTTTATTATGGATGAATGCGCTTTATTTTACTTCTTTTGGACTGATGCATGCAACACCCGCTGACTGCCATTAAACAGCTTGGAAGATCAAAGACAATTTTTAATATAACTCCAACTGGATTCATCTGAAAGAAGAAAGTCATATACGCCTAGGATGGCTTGAGGGTGAGTAAATAATGGGCTAATTTTCATTTTTTGGGTGAACTATCCCTTTAAAACTGTCTCACTGAGTCATTTTTATAATGTTTACCTGATTTTGTAACCTGTAATTGTATTTTCAATCGTACTCACCCCTAGCATTGATTTCTGTATGTTATTTCTTGTGGCAATAAAAAAAGGTATGCTATCGCTGTAGCTGAATAAAACGCAGATAGGACGTTTAACTGATTAAACATGAAGACAATAAACAAACGATTGTGACTTTAGATAGTCATTGAATAATTCACTCTACCTATTTTCTCAGTTCTTCAATAGTTTTGCTTTTATGAAACACTGACATAAAATACTAAGTACACACATTTTAATTATAATTTAAGCAATTTCATTCATTTCAGCACAAAATTGCACCCAACCTATACTGAATGGATTGTACAGCCTAGTTTTCATTTGTAAAAATGAAATACACCTCCCCATCTCCGCAGCTCAATAAAATACTGTTTTAATGGAAATATGTACAGTATAAATAAGGACATACATTTTCTTAATCATTTTATAAAAGCAATAAGGGTCACACTTCATTTTAAGGTGTCCTTGTTACAGTGTAATTATACATTTAAGTACTAAGTAATATTACAGTTTTTCTCAATCAATTTGACACATTTCTCCAAACTCAGGTCACTGTTCTCAAAACAGTTAACACGGTGACCTGAACACTTTGTAATTGTCCTAAACAGATTGTTTGTTTTCATTAATTTCATACAAATTACAAATCATGCAAATAATTTTCTCAAAACAATATGCACAAAACTCTCAAATGTTTTCACAATAAGAAAAAAAAAGGTTTTACACAAATTACAATAATTTATGTACCATTTGTCCAAACACAACAAACAAAACTCTGTCATTTGTCATTCTATCAAATGAACATGGTATATTTTCGATTGGCCCTAAACTGATAACTATTCGGTTAATCATACACTCAACACAGGAAATGCAGTTTTCCTAATCGTTTACACATTTATCACAATTGCTTTAGAGTAATAATAAAAGGGAAAGTATACAAAGAGCAAGAAAGAATATGCAAATAATAATAATAAAATAAAAATAAAATAAAAATGGAGGGGGGGGGGTTAAGAAAGGGGGGTGAGTCTATAAGGTGGAATGGCTAGAGAAAGGGGTGTAATGAGAGAGAAGATGAAAAGTGTAACAGGTAGAAAGAGATGAGCAGAGAGGAGGATGTGAGAAAAAAGGAGAAGAGAAGGAAAGGGAGAAGAGATGACTAGAGAGGTTTACTATGATTGTTGATAGTACAGATTTTTTGTCCTTGTGGGACAACTTCTGTTATTGACTGTAAATGTTCAAACATTTTTCCGAATTTAAGTTTGAGATCATTCAGGTGAACAATCAAGATTATTTTGAAAGGAACAGGAGCATTGTTGACATGGTGGTCCATAACAACACCAGCCACAAAGGAAGAGGCCTGTGGAGATGTTGAGACAGGAGCTTGTCAAGCATGGATTCAAACTTCTTACATTTCTTCTCCTATGATGCAAGCGCAGCAAATATGTAGTCTAGATAAAATGCAATGAAATTCTCTTCCAGATGCAAATGAAAGGCAAGATTAATAATTCAGGATAATTCATGTATACAGCAAACACACGCACACACACACACACACAGGTGGCCAAAATTATTAGAACACTAGTATTTTCACCAGCTAAAAAAGTCATATATATCCACCACTGTGCTGAAAAAGACTGATTTGTAGTTTTCAGAAAAGTTTGTTTGCAGTTCTTGCTGCTAAAGTTGGCGTGGACCGATTTTAAGTTTAAAGGGGCAATTCGTTTTTTCTCATGGGTGACAGCAGGTGTTGGATAACAATTTTTATTTTGTTTAGATATACAGTTGTGCTCCAAATTATTCATACCCTTGGTAAATATGATCAAAGAAGGCTGTGAAAATAAATCCGCATGGTTTATCCACTTGATCTTTCATTAAAAAATGTAAAAAAAAAAAAATCTAACCTTTAATTAAAGTAAAAAAAAAAAAAAAAGTGAAAGTGGGGGAAAATCACATTATGAAATCAATATTTTTCTCTAATACAGTAAGAGGACGTGTGTCTATATCGTCCTAATGCACGGTGAGGAGGAGAGTTTGAGTGGCTAAAGACTCTCCAAGGACCACAGCTGGAGAACTGCAGAAAATAGTTGAGTCTTGGGCTCAGAAAGCCTCAAAAACCAAAACAAAAAAACAATGTTGTTTGGGAGGGTTTCAAGAAAAAACTAGAAAAGAAAACGCTCTCATACAAAAACAAACTCCAGCATATTTATTTGCTAGACACAACTGGAACTTTAAACGGGACTGAGTTCAATGGTCAGATGAAACTAAAAAAATGAGCTTTTTAGCAGCAAACACTCATGGATAAAAAAGTTAAAACTGACGGTCCATGCTAGAAATCTTATAATGGGCCATGGTTGGATCTTCCAACAGGACAATGATCCACAAACAAACACCAAAATCAAAACAAAAATGGGTCACTGGGCACAAAACCAAGCTTCTGCCCTGGCCAACCCAGCTCTCTGAGCTGAACCCTATAGAAAATGAGTGTGGTGAACTGAAGAGGAGAAGCATCAACATGCAGTCCTCCTGTCAGATGTTCTCTAAACTCTTCAGGCATTAGAGGTGAAGACTCAGAGCTGTTCTCTTGGAAAAAGGAGGTTGCAAAACGTATTGGATTAAAGGGTATGATTAATTGTGACCAATGTGTATTAGAGAAAAAACATTTATTTCATAATGCGATTTCTCTCCCATTTTAAACTCTTACTCTCCAATGAAAGGTTAAATGGTAAAATGTTTTAAATAAAATATCTAAAGGACTGATGATACAGATTAATTTTCACAGCCTTCTTTGATCATATTTACCAAGGGTATGAATAATTTTGAGCACAACTGTACACAATGTATATAAAACAAAACTCCCTGTTGAAGACACAAACGGAGAGTCTTTAAAAATACAGAGAGCCGAAGTGTTGTACATTACTCTCTTTAAATGACTGTGTTCGAGGTTTGGATAACATTTGCTTACACTTAACTAAGTGCTGAATCTACTTTGTTTTTAAGGCTGCATGGATCTGCTGCCCATGAATTGTGATTAAAAACATGATGTAATGTCACAAACGTATGGTGTAAACTGAGCTTCAAATTCACTAAATGTATGGAAATTAAAGAAAGATCCACAAATAAATGATGTTTAAGAAGAAATTAAAAACTCACAAAAGAATAAAATTTCGATGTGAGCTCTATGTAATGGAAAATAATGAATAGTAAAGCAAAGCTGACTTAATTTGAGTGTAATTTGCAATAATGACTGGCTGACTCTATTGGATGGCTACTTAAATCAATAAAAGGACATGAAATATTGATGCAAGTTAAAATGATTTAAATATGAAAATAGAGTGTGTATCCATTATTATATAAAAATATTTAACAGAATGCTGTGATTGACCAATTAAAATGAAATATCTTCAAATCGTTATGAAGTAAACTCCAAATTTAGCTGGTACAGATTTCTACAGTGCACAGAAAAAACAACACATGGACATTTATGTTTAATAAATGTAAACATTCCGAACTGAAACCATTTGACATTTAGAAGAAACACATTCAAGCAAATGTACACAAATACACAGATGACAGTGAATCAGATAAATAGATTAATCTAATCAAAAATGTATCCAAGCTTCTCAAATGCTTCATTACAAGCGGACAATGATATAAATACTCCACTGTGCATTATAAAGCTGTTAGATGACCGAGAGAAAGAAACAGCCTGACAGTAAATCGCCATACAAGGATCGGAAACAGGCTCAGGTTGATCTGAGTCATACCCCACACACACACACACACACACACACTCTCTTTCTCTCTCTCACAGTAGTGCACAAAGGAAAGTCTTCAAGACGTGTCTGTCAATAAATAAGGCTATTCACAAAATTCAAGTCTCATAAAACAGGGGCTAACGCCTCCTCTACGCAAACAAAAATATATTACATTGGTATTTCGGAGCTAATTTATAAACGGCTACAACACTCAAAACTATACGACATCAACATGCACAATAAGGCATTGTCTTTCAGCTGACGAGAACAATCAGAAAAAAAAAAAAGAGATCTCAATGTCTTTAAATTCTACATCACATGACAGGCAGCGCTCAGATCCTGTCGAGCGTCATGGTGAGCAGAAGACACCGTTGATATGTACATTATGATTAAAGAGTGAAATTCCTTCAGCATGGAAACCTGAGAACATACACAGATGATGCTGCTCTGAAATGTGAGTCATATTAGAATAACTAGTGAAAATGACTTGATGCATTTCAAACATGTGTTGCTAAGCATGCAGAGTAAATACCTGGAAGGTATCAGGTGTGTATGAGACTATGGCTCGATGTCATCATCTTCCTCCTGGGGCGTGGCTTCTCTGCGTGGGAGGGGCATTGCATCAGTTCCCAGAAGCCCCCTACGCAGGACGTATGGACAAGCTGGCCCGCTGGGAATGTCAGCAAATCCTTCAGGAGATAAAAAGACCATTCAAGGAATAGTTCTCACATAAAAGAAAATTAGCAAAAAATTCACTCGCCCTCAGGCCATCCAAGATGTAGAGTTTGTTTCTTCATCTGAACAGATTTGGAGAAATTTAACATTACATCACTTGATCAGCAATGGATCATCTGCAGTGAATGGGTGCCGTCAGAATAAGAGTCCCAACAGCTGATAAAAACAATCACAATAATCCACAAGTAATCCACATGACTCTAATCTATCAAAATCTTGAAGTAAAAAGCTGCGTTTATAAGAAATAAATCCAACATTAAGGCATATTTAACTTCGAACTGTTGTTTCCAGCTAAATTTAATGCAAAATTTCTCCAATAACGAAACAAACTCATCTTGGATGGCCTGAAGGGGAGTAAATTTATAGCAAGTTTACATTTTGAAGAACGTTTGGTTTTTAATATAGTATCTAACCTTTCATGACAACCTCTGGCAGGCCATACGGTTCATATTCGGTCTCGTCGTAAGCGACAGACATGCGGCTGCGGTTTTGCCGGATGCGTTCAGCGAGGTGAGCTGGGTCATTCATGGGGAACGCGCTGGATAAGAGCAGTTGCTTTGTAACAGACTGTGGGGTCGGAGCGAGGGGCGGCGAGTCTGCAGGCTCTTTATGGCCTTTATCTTCCACCGTCTCCAGCTGTTCTCCATCTACTTGGGTGCAGGCGTGGACGGGTGGCTGTTTGTCCCCCAAAATCAGATCTTGGCTCTCTTCTGTCTGAGTGGATACACTCTTCACCCCTGTTCTGACCTTGCTGACCTCTTCCATTTTACATGGAGCAGATTCATTCTTGATTGGCTTTTCCGCATGTTTGTTCTGTTTATCTGTTGTTTCTCCATGACAATGTCCGTGTTTATCCGAATCAACAGTTTCCATAGTTTCAATCTCATTATGCCCAGGGCATAACACACCAGAATTCTGGGAGTCTGCAGTCCCATAGGAGTCTGTGATTGGATTTGAGTTGATTACCTCGGTCTGATATTTGGTTGAGATGGAAACACTGATTAAGGCATCTTCCTGGCTGTTCGTACTAGCACCTGCTGCTTTGGTCTGATCCTCGGGAGACACTGAGGCAACTGTCTGAGAATCTGAATTACTGTAATCTGTTGGTTTGGTCTGTGGAGGTGACGGCTTGTCTTTAGTGTTACTACTCATTATATCTGAGACACAGACAGGAGGACTTTTGTTGTTAACAGAGCTGCTTTCACATTTGGGTTGAGCATGTTCTTTGGTCATTACATTCACATTTCCAGTCATAAGATCCTGAAAACAATTAAATGAATAGGTCTGTGATCATTTGAATGGCATTTGCTTATGACTATATTAGGGCTAATATTTATGGCTTAATTTCTTAATTTGCAAATGTTAAAACATCAATCATATATTTTTTTTGTCTGAAAACCACAGAGAGCTCTTATGGTTTTAGTTTGATTAATCATACAAAGATCAGCAGAACGTTCATGCAGTCATTTTCTATACAATAAAAATGAATGTGGAGTTAATGCACTTTTGTTGTCACTTTCCCCAATCACACTCATTGTATAAAAAAGGCAATCCATAATAAAAATAAAAATAAAATTATACAGGTTTGTAGTGACATGATGGAAAGTGAACGATCACAATTTTCAATTTTCAAATCAAATTTTTCCATATGTAAATAATGACATGCATTATGAAATGTTATTTACCTTATCAGGTCCTTGAGATTCTCTCACATAGTGTGTCATTTGAGTTTCAGGTGACACATGCTCCCCCAAGTTGGTTTGGTCATTTGTGTTGGCTAATCCAGATCGATTTGTCACATCTTTGACAGTGCACTGGTGCATCTTGGTTCTACAGCAGACAGAGCACAGACTGAAGGGTCTTGCATTAAGGGTCCTACATAAACATCGCTCATTCACTGAACCTGTGTTTACCTTCCTCATCTCAGGACCAACATACCCATAATTCACGTAAAGTACCTCACACTGCCTTTAAAATTATTATGAACAAACGCTGTTTACATTACTATGTTGCTTATCGCATATTTATCTTCAACAAATGCCAGTCAAAGGATGTTACCTTGGCATTTGGGACTTTGTGTGCAGCTTTCTGGGACTGCAGGGGAGGTACAGCTCAAACTCTTTTAGCACGATGGAGGGTGAGTTGTTGCCCACGGTTTCTTCTGAGAGCTTCCAGAGTTCTAGTTCTACAGCTTGTGTCCTGTTCTGCTCAGAGAGGTGCTGGATTTGCTCTTGTAATGCCTGGATCTGGAGGACACAGAGAATATGAATAACAAAATGAACATGACCTAAATGTACTGTACATGCATGCAAATAAAGGAGTTTTCCCAATTAGATAATCTTGGGATTAATATTAAGGGTTAAGTGTTTGTTTAAATGTGCAATAACAGTAGTGGAGCATTACTAGACTATGACATGCTGTGATATGATAATAGTACTTCAGTGAGCGCAGAAATATGACTTTAATAGCAGATGAAGTATCAAAATCACAACCAATCAGAACATACTTTTAGTTTAATATACAGTCGTGCGATTTTAGAATAATGAGATTTCACTGTGGGAGGAGATACCCAGCACAACACAAAAAAAACAAGAAATGTCTTATTGTATTCGTAGCTGATTAGGACAAGATCACAGATTAACATGGAAGGGATTTATCACTTTCTGCTTTATAATACTGGTTAGGAACTTTTCTTCCATATTGTTTTGTACATCCGAGTGAAACGGATTATTGAAAAAGAAAAAATTAGGGTTGGGACTTGGTTCTATCCACTGGTTGTTGACTGGATGAAAGTATATCTGAATGTGAACTTGCAATCAATATTAATAAAAGGTCTGGGCTTAAACAAAATAACTGGAGATGTTTTGGCATATAAGAGAGAATCCTGTCATTTCAAGATTGAGGTCAAAAATGTAAAAAAAATGAAACATGCATGTTTACAATAACATCATGAAGATGCATTTAGAAAACTGATAGGGTGGATTTCCAATTCATGCCAACAAAACATTTCCATTTTAATAAAACTTACCTGCTCCTGAAGAGACTGAACCTCTGCTTTGGAGTTAGCATGAAGAACAATCAACTCCTCCTGTCCTAATGGAGAGCCACTTTGTAACCCTTCCTTTGTGCTTGACAATTCTTCATTTTCAGTGTTCACTAAAAGTGAGGCACCATCTTGTTTAGCACAAGTGTCTTTACCCAAGTGTTTCAGTTTCAATTTAAACTCTTCGTTCTCTTGTTTAACAGTCAGAAGCTCTTCCTTTATTACATCTCCCTGTAGAGCAAGCTCTGAATTCTGAGCCTTCAACACATTCAGCTCAAGCTGAGCATCCAGTAATTCCTTTATTACTCGTTCTAGCTCTTTGATAGCACCTGTGGAAGGTTCTGGAACGTGATTTTGGAAGTTAAGTACATCCAACTGTTCGTTTTGCAATAGAGAACTTGTGTTCGCATCAGTTACCTCAGAAAGACTGGGTGCTCCTGAATCAGCACTAGAATTCGGAGCATTTCCACAATGTACATCTGAAGTGAGACATAATTCATGTGGCTTGGAAGCTTCAGTCGCTTGTAGCTTATCAGATATCTTACTAGTGTTGGTTTGGTCAATGTTTTGACTAACAGGAAGCTGTACAGTAGGCCGTGAGACCTTTTCCTTCAGAACCGGTTGTGTATCATCACTAAACATTTCATGGTCGCTTATGCTTGTATTGCTGAAGACCGAATCACAGCTTAGTTCTCTTGAGATCTCTGAAGACAGTTCAGGAGGCGTAGAGACCTCATTGCGGGTAATGGTCACCCTAGTGTGTTTTTCTTCAAGACGACAGATTTTCTCTTGACATTTTTGCAATTCTTTGCTCTGCTTCTCGAGGGCGCAGTCTTTATCGTGCAACTCTTTCAGCAGGTTCTCAATGTGCTTGCTCTGGCTTTCAAAAGCTTGGGTAAGGTTCTTGGTCTGAGTGGTCACTTGCTTCTGTAGGTCCTCCAGCTTTCCTTGAGCTAGTTTCGCCTTATCTGACTCTCGGTCTCGTGCTGCCCTCAGGCGCTCCAGCTCTAAAACTAAAACGGTAGTGCTGTCCAAATCTGAGGCATCTTTGCTCAATGCTTGAATACTGCCTATCTCTGCAGCAAAGGTCTTGTCCTCTGTTGGTTTAGTTTGTGCTCCAAGATCCATAATCAGCTCCATTGTTCTGGTTTCTTTGCAGACCATTGTGTTCTGAAGGTTCACAGAATCACAGATGGACTCTTGATTGTCTGGAGAAAGAACAAAGTCTTTGTTTTCTATAACAGCAGGATTTTTATTGGTGTTTGGATGGTGTTCTAGTTGTAAATATGTGAGGGGAAGATTGTCTTTTGAAATCTTCTCTTCCAAACTCCTAGATTTTCGAAGACTGTCCAGCTCTTCTTGAAGCTGTGCAATCTTTAGTCCTTCCAATTCCTCTTTTCTGATCCGTTTCCTTTCCTCTTCTCTCTCCCTCTCTCTTTCCTCCCGTTCCTGTGCAAGCTTGAGCTGAAGGTCTTGCAAGTCCTTTTTCATTCTTGTCATTTCGTCCTCCATGCAAGTCTCCTTTTGCTCCATTTCAGCCAAGACGTTCTTCAGCTGGGTACCTTCTTCCTGGTCTCTCTCTATCTCTTCTAGCTTCTTCTCAGCTTCTCTTTCTAGCGCATCGAGAGTTTCTCTCAGTTTTGTGCTCTCTTTCTTCTCTTGCTCCAGCTGGGCTTCCAGTTTTGTCACGCTGTCGTTGAGTTCAAGAGCTTTGGCATGTTGCTGCTCTGTCTGTGTCGAGTGTTTCCGGCTCAACTGTTTCAGTTTGGTCCTAGCCTCGGTTTCAGCTCTTCTCTGGGTTTCGAGGTCTTCAAGTCGCTTCTGAAGCTCATATTTCACATCTCTAAGTTCATCATGAAGTTCTGCGTTCTCCTTCTTCAGATCTTTTAGAGGTGCAGAGTCACGTTTTTCTGTTTTGCCTGATGTGTCATCTATCTGTAGGCTGCAAGAGATGGCCGATTCACTTTTAGGCATTGTGCCGCTGGTTGACTCAGACGTGAACGAGTCCGTTTCCACATCTTCAATACCCGTGTCTTGTTCTGTCACTGAGGTCTCTACATCAGTCTCACTCAGTCTCAGAGAGTCACTTGGATGTGTTCGGATTCCTCTTCCTTTAAATTCCTGTGATTCCTCAGACTCAAATTTTCCAATGTGCTCTGAGTCGATGCCCTCTCCTGGCTCTCTGCCGGAGGGGTACTTCATTCTGTCCTCTTCTCTTGTTCGCCCTGTTTTAGGGGCTTTCTTTCTCTGAGAGGAGTTGCTGTATGGAGGAGAGCGGTCATGATGAAGGGAAACAGAAGGAGAGAAGCAGTCTCCTGCAGAGCTGAAGTGAGGAGCGGCCACAGCTGGAGGAGGAGGAGCAGCCAGTTGAGCTACAGGGAAAAAGAAGAGTCAAGACTATTAAAAAATGAGCAAATAATATGGTAAATACAGGTGCATCTCAATAAATTAGAATGTCGTGGAAAAGTTCATTTATTTCAGTAATTCAACTCAAATTGTGAAACTTGTGTATTAAATAAATTCAATGCACACAGACTGAAGTAGTTTAAGTCTTTGGTTCTTTTAATTGTGATGATTTTGGCTCACATTTAACAAAAACCCACCAACTCACTATCTCAACAAATTAGAATACTCCATAAGACCAATAAAAAAAAACATTTTTAATGAATTGTTGGCCTTCTGGAAAGTATGTTAATTTACTGTACATGTACTCAATACTTGGCAGGGGCTCCTTTTGCTTTAATTACTGCCCCAATTCGGCGTGGCATGGAGGTGATCAGTTTGTGGCACTACTGAGGTGGTATGGAAGCCCAGGTTTCTTTGACAGTGGCCTTCAGCTCATCTGCATTTTTTGGTCTCTTGTTCCTCATTTTCCTCTTGACAATACCCCATAGATTCTCTATGGGGTTCAGGTCTGGTGAGTTTGCTGGCCAGTCAAGCACACCAACACCATGGTCATTTAACCAACTTTTGGTGCTTTTGGCAGTGTGAGCAGGTGCCAAATCACAATTTGAGTTGAATTACTGAAATAAATGAACTTTTCCACGACATTCTAACTTATTGAGATGCACCTGTATTGGCAATTATTTGGCAAAAAAAGCAAAGTTTTATATACATTTTATGTCATTTAAATGATCATTTAGTATTAATATTATTAAAAGCTCTGGCATTTGTTACTTCAAGTCAGAGTAATAGTTCAAAATTATGACACTCAAGAACAGCAGTAATAAAGTATTCAACTAATGACACATTATCTTATTCAGGTTTCTAAAATGTATGGTCTTATAAACCATAAATAATGTAAATAATAAAGGTTGGGAGGATTTGGGGGTCCACTGCTTTGATTGGCTTGTCTAACCCATTACAGACTTTTAGTAATGTCCAGTGATTTTTGAAGGTGTACTGTCAAGGTTTGGTCAGAAGAGGGAGGCAAACACAAGGGATGTGTGTAACAGGGCGGGGCCAAAACACACAAACACAGTTCTCCGTGTGGACCAGATTCCTTCCCGACTCACCCTGAAGTTCTTTAATGAGCCTGAGGGCCTCAGCAAGCTCTTCAGTCAAACGCTTTACTTCTTCCTTTAGAGCTTTCTCCTGTTTCTTCATCTGCCCCAGAGACACAGTGAGACTCTCACAATCCCTCAGCGCCTCCTACAGGAGAAGATGAGAAGTGCACATATAGAACAAAGAACAACAGGCTTGTCAAATGAGATTAATGATTAAAGACACGCATCACATTTGAACAGCCATAAAACTACATTATACAACTGTGTTGTTACAGCGAACAGAATTTTAATAGTGAAAAGTAAAGCAACCATAATTCTCAAAGTGTTTAGGGTGAGGCATGCTGGAAAAAGACACACACCTAAATACACAAAATGAAAGCATTCAAGCGGACAAAGAGGTTATCCAACTGCAATCCTGATCTGCATATAACATTACACTGCTTTTAAACATCATAAAAGCTTTTGGTGATTATAATACACGACTCTCATATTGTACGCATACGGTCTAAAAATAAAGCGCTTAAACCCAAGCCCCAGCATGAAACAGAAGCCGTAAGGAGATAATGGTGCTATATCTGAGGCTGCATTCAGCTGAGTCAGTAACGGCATTGTTGCACTGGGAGATTCATCTGTGTGTGTGTCTCTTTGACTGGGTCTCTCTGATCAGTATGTGCTTGTGTTTCTGATCTAGCTATGCACTACTGTTCAAATGCCTGGGGCCAGTAAGATTTCTTTTAAGAAATTAGTACTTTTATTCAGCAAGGACACATTAATCAAAAGCAACAGTAAAAATGTTTACATTATTATAAAGATTTTTGTCACATAAATGCTGTTCTTTTGAACGTACATCAAGTAATACTGAAAAAAATCATCATGTTTCCACAAAAATATTAATCAGTACAACCTTTTTCAATTTTGTAATTTACTTTTGGGGACATTCCCAAAGAGGAAATAAAGAAGCTATTTATGTATTGTAATAATACCAAAACCTGTATTTAACTACTAATTTAGAAGTCAAAATGACTCCATTGAAAAATCTATGTGAATGCTGTGTCTAGTCTTAGTTTGTCTCTCTTTTTTTGACAGGATCTCTCTCTGATCAATTTGTTTTATGACAGGGTGCGGAATTAGCAAAAAATAAATAAAAAATCCCACCCTGTCATAACTGAAGACAACCCTGCCTTATCTACCAGACATTGTGACGGGTGACTTGTTATTGAACAGCATTTCTTGTCACTCTTGTTGAGGTAACCTAACACACTTAGATTATATTTTGATGAATGTGAAAGAAAAAAAAAAGGCGAGGTACAGATTAAGTAGCGTGTCAGATTGGTGAAAAGTCAGTGCATCTCTGTCACATCGTTCTTAATAAATTAATCTATTTACTTGACCTTAAAAATGAGCACATAAGCACACAATTTCTAAGTTCTAACTTAGAAACAATATCACAATTTCTAAGCACACAAAATTGCTGAAAAATAGCCAAAGTTAACCAAATCCAAATATCTCCTTTGACCTTCTCAGAAAGAGAAATGGTTCATAAAGAAATTAAATGTCTTTATATTTTACAGTAAAAAGTAAGATTTAATTAAATATTTTATGCACCCCAAGGCTGCATTTACACGATTAAAAACACAGTAATATTGTGAAATCAATAATTCATAATTAAATCAATTGTGAAATTGTTTATATATATTTTAAAATGTAATTTATTCCTGTGATGCAAAGCTGAATTTTCTGCATCATTACTCCAATCTTCAGTGTCACATGATCCTTCAGAAATCATTCTAAACAGTTGTGGTGATTAATATTTTTCTGGAAACAGTGATACGTTTTTCAGGATTTACTGAACAGGTTCAAAAGAACTGCATCTGTTTAAAAACAGAAACCTTTTGCAACATTACAAATGTCTTTACTGTGACAAGGAATCAAATTAATGCATCCTTGCTGAATAAAAGTACTACTTTCTTAAAAAAATCTCACAGACTTCAAACTTCTGAATAGTAGTACAACTAAACTTGTGTTGACTGACTCTGTCAGATTATGTATGTTGTTGTACCGTGAGTTTGGCCTCAGTCTGTGTCTCTCTCTTCTGACTCTCTTTCAGATCAGACTCTGTGTTCTTCAATTTTCCTCTCACATCCTCTAGATCTCTCTCCAAACTCTGCTTCTGCAAACACACCTGAGAGAAAGACAAACAGTCAGCAGAAGGATTAGAGTGTGTGCCAAGAGAAAGAGCACAGATCTTCACCATGCCGTGTTTGTGGCAGACTAGGTACGCATCACTCATTTTCATGCAGGATGCCACATAAACCAATGTTATGGAAACCATGTCAAACAAATGATGAGATTTATTTATGGAATGTAAAATGCAAAATGTCCCTTTCACGTGTCTTGCAGTTTAACCAGATGATGTACAAACCATGCAACATTTACAGAACTGAATCCAAAGGCCTACTCATGTAAATTAGACATTCATGCAAAGCACACATTTGAAATGTTTATGCTCATTTTGTTTTTATTTCTCTCTATACAAATAGAGAGAATGTGTAATTATGTAAAACATCCAAGTATGGCCATAAGTAGTGTAAAACAATCTGTAACTATCAGAATTTCAAAACAACACATTCCATGACCTCAATTCAGGTCATGGTATCAGTTTTTGTGTCCCATCAGCATAGAAACACCATTACTCACCTCTGTATTTACAGACATGCTTGCATCACGTGTCTCTTATTTTAACACACAGTATCTTATCAGCAAAACAGGGCTCAAACAAGACTTTTGTCTTAGTGAAATATGAGGGAACTGTATGGGTTGAGAGTGATATTTTACTACAAACATACACACACACACACACACACACCAAACCCCTGGGTCATATCCATATCTTCTTCCTGTACTTAAGGCTCTGGAGAATATAAGCATTTCTGAAAAAAAAACATGCTATGCTTTTCAATTGCCAGCAGGAGGCGATTTTAGAGCAGGAGAAATAGCGGTTTCCCGGTAACGGCTGTACACAAAGCAGTGCTCTGCTCCACTACTTTTCAGGCATTACATGCAAGATGAAATGAAAATGACGTTGAAAATTTTCTGAAGAGAGTCAGTTTCCTTTAGAAATACAGTGTTATAAAAATACCCGCGCTGCGTTTTGATTTTGAAACGTGCAGTGCTCATGTCTATTCAACGAAGTCAAAGCCTTTTGGAAAATCTACTTGTGGCAGTCAGTTTTGGTATTGTGGCAGTCCGCCACAAATAAATCAATGTATGGGAAACACCGTCTTAGATTTCTAAGCCTGTCAATTTGATCACAAAACGCAAACAATACATTTAGCATGGGGCGCACGTGAACCGTTTTTCTTTACTACGGACTACAGCATGAAATAAATATGAATGCACACACACACACACACCAAACCCCTGGGTCATATCCATATCTTCTTCCTGTACTTAAGGCTCTGGAGAATATAAGCATTTCTGAAAAAAAAACATGCTATGCTTTTCAAACATACATCACACTGAGATTACAACACTGACCTTCGCTCTAGTGTCCTCTGAGGAGGAAAAACAGAAAGAGAAAAAAAAGGAATAGAACTGTGTGAGAAAACATGAGCAATGGGAGAATGACAGAAAGAGAGAGAGAGGGGTGACATTAGTGCATCGACCAGAGGACACCCATACTGGAGCTCCCATGAGACAAAGAACGAGAGCCAGAGAGAATAAAGAGAGACAGAGGAAAAGGACAGAAGCTACAGTTTAATATAGAGTAGAGGTTAGATTTCTGGAAACATCTAGTTTCTGCAAATTACATTTCTGGAAACATCTAGTTTCTGCAAATTACAAACAAAAATTAGCCGACTGAACCAAAGCTATTTAAGAAAATAGGAGAAGCGAGTAGAGAAAAGTGGTGCTTGTCTAAACACTCATCATTACATTGCCCTACGTGTTCTAATTGGTTACCAGAGCAGTGCTATGTCGTTTAGAGCCCAAAGTATACTGTGTACACTAGGGTATACATACATGGCATGGGACGTTAATTTCATGAACAGCATCATGTTCTGTACACGCAAAATCAGATTTTTCTAATAGAGAAAATTATTTCACAGTCGAAAAAAATGGAAGAGATGTAACAACAGAATACTGAAAACACAGTAATATTGGTGCTTGGTTGAGGGGGGTTAAAAGATACACGCACTAGTTTTTATTAACATTTTTATTAAACTAGTACAACATTTTTATTGATCTTATGGAGAGAAACACACACATATA